GCGCAAGAGGGGAAGACCCTCTATGAGATGGATTGATTCAGTGACTGGGGTAATTGGGATGGGTGTGTCAGAGGCAGTGCGATTGGCACAGGACACAGCAGAGTTCAGGGCTGTTGTACAAAGGGTTGCTATGAGTCGCAAACGACTCGACGGCACATAACAACAACAATAATTGAAAATAATGTGATAAGTGAGTTTCATTTAAAAAAAATCTTAGCTTGACACTTAATGATACAATAATGTCAAATTTAGGCCAGTTCTCAAGGGTATTATAACCAATAACAAGATATCTCCTCAGAAGCCTACTTTGCATAAACATTTAGGGCAAATGTCATTGGAAACAGCTAAAACAAACCCATTGCTGTCAAGGCTATTCAACTCCTGGTAACTCCTTGTAGTACAGAATCCAACTGTTCCATAGGGTTTTCTCAACCATCATCACTACTGAACCTGGTTGCCAGGACTTTTTTCCAAGGAGCATGAGTTTAAACTTCTTGAAGCAGCTGGTGCATTGAGTTAGTAACTGAGTACACACCATTTGTGCCATCTTGGGACCTTATACTAAAAATAACTTAACTGCCTTCAAGTCTCTTCCAACCCATAGCAACCCTCCATCAGGTTTCAAAGGCTCTAAATCTTTACAGGAGCAACTGGCAGATTGGAACCTCTGACTACTAAGTTAGCAACCAGCTAAGGACTATACCGCCAATAGCGTTCCTTCCCACTCATTCACATGGCTGTCAAATTAGAACTAACCTACAGCTGACCCTCCATTGGGGTTATGTAGCTGTAAATAGCATAGAAGGAAATTGATTATTTTTTAAATAAAATTAGCATTTTTTAAAAGGTATTTTTATTTTAATTGTGATTTTAATGAAATTTTACAGAAAAGTTGGATTTTTCTAATCACTCATTGTTGCACATTTTTCCTCCCTCTCTCTTGCAAAGAGGACTGAGGGAGGGAGAATGGGGTGGAAGAGAGGTAATTGTGCAACAATGGATTAATATATATATATATTATATATTTTTAATATACATATGTTAAGTATTAAACCATAGCTAACCTTCTAGCAAGTTTTCAGAGGCTGTAAATGGCACAGGAGGAGATTATCTGCTTATCTTTCTCCTGAGGATCAGCTGGCAGCTTCAAATCACCCACATGTGGACTAGTAGTGCAGCTTCCTATTTAACTGGTCACTAGTGCTCCCCTAGCTTCCATAAAGCAAGGACCACTCCATTCATGAACCTGCCTTACTGTTCTCTCCTCATAAACTGTAGCACATGTCTATCATTCCAAATCCAAGAGTTTTAAGAGTATGGCTTGAAAAGTAGAAAGTAAAAATCACTATTTTTATTTTCCATAGCTCTTACAACAAATAACCACAAAATAAATTCCTTGGAAACTCACAAATATATTATCTCACAGCTCTTTCTTTTAACCCTCTCTGTATATATTTACATTTGCTGAACCAATTGAGAGAACACTATAACATCGACTCAACGGCAATTAACAACAACAACAGTGAGGACAACTTCCAATATGTGCTAACAAGAACCTCAATATTCAGCCTCACAGCTTTAGACCAGTGTTACAAAGCTCTGAGTCCTGCCGATTATGGTGCCTCCCACCCCTAGTCTTCCAACAAATTTTGAGGAAGGCTTGTAGCTCTGGTTTCCTGGGTTAGCAGACCCAAAGTCATCTCTGTCTCATGTCAGGTCTCTGGTTCTCTGCTGCGCTACTGTGGTGGCGGCTGCTCCTGTAGAGCCTGTTCTGAGTGGTACAGGGATCTTTGGCTCTGAAGGACAAGTATGATGCATTCTCTGTGTCTTCTTTGCTCATAGCGAGATTCTCAATTTCTGCTACTGAATCCACTGAATTTAATAGCAAGATTAGCCAATCCCCTTGTGAACAGGCCCTAAATCCCATCCGTATGCCCCCACCCATCCATGTGGCAAAGTCATATTTAAAGGCTAGAAAAGCCCTTTTCTAGCCATTTTGAACAAAACAAAAAACAAACAAAACAAAACAAAAAACCCTTGATACCACAGACCACTCCCTGGCTTTTCTAGCCACTAGCCTTCATATTTAAAGAATTAACTTGTCCCATACTATCATCTTACTAATAACTACCTTCATGAAAGTGTGTAAGCCAGTTACTCCATGCCTCATGCCTTAATATCCCCATTTTAGATAGACAATTTCTGATTTGTCTATCAAATCAGTACTCTGAGGCTGCAAGCATGGCATCTTTTCTGAAGAATCTTCCGTTCAACTTGGAAAGGTTGAGCATGTGCATTTACAAGCAAAGTCCAGTCCGGAGCAAGCCATCAGGTTGCAGCAACCAACACTAGCTCACAGAATGGACCATCTTCTCTTCATCCAGTTGGGTTCTGGTCAACACATTCCCAGCTATCTGTGGCTAGGTCCAAATGGGCATCAGCTGCAAACTCAGACGTCTACTCTTCTCCATGAGTTCCAGACCAGCTGGTTCCTTCTCTCAACCTCAGCCCCCACATGGGGCCAAGTCAACAAGTCGGGGGTTCTCATGACTCCCTGCTCCTCAAGCCAGAAACCTTTTGTGCTAATCCACACATCTGTGCACGCTAGGTGGGTGGTGCTGAAGGAACACATCAAAGCCCTGCCCGTCTCTTCATTGCTGCATGCCTCCAACTTCCACTGCAGCGGATCCAAGCCTTCACTATGAGCGAACTAACTCGTGAGCTCAGTTTAACCCCAAGTCCTAGAAGAAGGGTCCGATGAGCACCGCTATCTCACAGTTCTAGAGATCAGAAGGCTGATGAGAGCCGCTATCTCACAGTTCTAGAGATCAGAAGGCTGATGAGAGCTTCACTGGGCTCAAACTGAGGTGCTGGATGGCTTGGCTCATTCTGCAGACTCTGGGAAGAATTCTCTGTACGGAATCTGTTTCTTTGTTTATCCAACTTCAGGATACTGTTCATGTTTCCTTAATCTTAACATTTTTTCAAATCATTTGGACCTTTTCTTCTACCCCCCTCCCTCGACTTTGGATAAAGATGGGGCAGTCTACGTTAATGAAAATTAAAGCCTTAGACACCATATCGGGCAATGCCACTCTGTCCTGTAAGGTCACCATGAGTCAAAATCACCTAAATGGCAAAGGGTTTGATTTCTTCCTTTATTTATATATGATCATTTGGGTCTCTGCAAACACTGAAGATAAACTTCCTACTTTAAGGCCAGCTGATTACCAACCTGAATTCTATCCACCACCTTAAACCCCCTTTGACATGTAAATAACATATTCATAGGTTTCAAGAAAGATGGGAAATATCCTTCCATGTGGTTTATAGCCACAGATGCCCGATGGAGGGCATGCACATCTCTGCGAGGAACAAGGGACATTATTCTGCCTTTCAAAAATACACAGAGAAATCGCATTACCCAGCTTTAGAATTCCAACTCTGCAGAGTTGGGGACGAATGTGTCCTCCAAGCAGACAGAAATCTGGATTGTCCTGGTCCCTCCTACCCCCTGCATCTCACAGAGGATCCCACAGACCCAGAACCTTCCCAGCCACACTCACAATGATTCCTGGGTAATAGCCTCCTACAGTCACATTCTCAGTTCTGGTCGTTGCAGCAAGGCCTATGGTCAGTATGAAGATTGACACCAGCAGCAGAGAGATGGCAAACCAAAGAGAAGTCTTCTTTCTTTTTGCAAATCCTTCTATAAGAAGAGAAAATAAGAGATCCATTAAAAAAGGCACCACAAGCTCAGGAAACATCACAAATACATTAAATATAAATGTGGTGTTTCTTTCGGAACATGGCTGTAGTAGTATGCTTAACTATTCATATCTCCCAGACTACAGTCCTAAAATCATGTTACTATCCTTAATTGCAGAAAAAAAAGGTTAAGAATTCAATGTGGGTGGTCAGTCTTATTCAAAGCCCATGAACTTAATCACTGTGCTGTATGGCTTCCCAAGTAGATACAAGGAATTGTGGAATCAGTACAATCTAACTAATAAGCAGAATTTAAGATTATGGTATAACATAATGCTATCACTATTTTAATTGTTCAAAATAAGTCAAGAATCTAGGGCCTTGTTTTAAATATTATTTTATCACATTTAAAATTCATCCACCATACAATCATCTGAAGCAAAACCAAACGTCTCATGAAGCATCTGAGATCAGAAAGATTTTCATCTTTACCAACTTAAAGGAGATATTAGGACCTGTCATGTCAGTTGGAAGGCTAAGGCGCACCTGATCTAAACTGTGACCTTTTCACTTACTTGCTATGCAACTGAAAGTTGGCCAATAAATAAGGCTGGTAGAAAAAGAACTGATGCCTTTGAGTTGTGGTTTTGGAGAAGAGTGCCAAATATTCTATGGATTGCCAAAAAGACAAACAAATATACCTTGGAGAATGTGCAGCCAGAGTGCCCTGTTCAGGCAAGGGCAGTGAAACTTTCTCACATGTTTGGGGCATATTGTTAGGGGGGCCCAGTCCTTGGGAAAGGATGTCCTACTTGGAAAGGTAGAAAGGGTCAGCAAAAGGAGGGGAAGACCTACATAAGATGGGTTGGCACAGGGACTGCAATGCATGGACTTAAGTATGTCAAAGTAAAACATCCCAGTAGGTTTTCCAAAGCTATATTCAATCTTTATGGAAGAAGAACTGCTTTTATGGAGGACTTGTTGGATTCAAACCACCAACATACCAATTAGTATCACAGTACCTAACCATGGGAACACTGAGGATCCTTGATATTATGTCCACGACTCTCTAAATTCTGTGCCACTTTCTCTGCTCTTGGAAGTGGTGATCTGCTAGTCAAACCCAAGTCAACTAAATTCATCATTCCTTCTGTTAACCATTCCCTAAAAAAAGGATGGTGTATTTCTCTCTTGAAGGCCTTTGAACATGCATTTTTCTCTGCTTAATTCTCTTACCTGAACCGCACTTCTAGATTTCACATGGTTGGCTTCTCTTCATCCTCAAAGCCTTATCATCTTTTTCAGGCCACACTATATGTAACAATCCTGGCCACTCATTTCTACATTCTTCATCATTCATCTATTCACCAAATGTTTATTGGGCATATACTATGTAAGTGCCAGGCAGTGTTTCAGATGACAGGGACACAGCAGTATATAAGACACAAGACAGACACAAACTCTTGTCTAGCTAGATCTACCATTTAGTGCAAGGAGACAGACAGTAAATAAGGTAAATAAGCAACTGTAAAAAGTTTGTTCCATGCAATAGATAATCTCTTCCTGCGAGAATTTACAACCTCAGAAATGCCCTGGAGGATCACTATGATTTGGAAACAACTCAATGGAGGCAAGTTGCAGCTGTTGTTTGGGGTTTTTTTGGGGGGTGGTTGCTGCCTATATACTGTATAGGATTAAGGACAGTGTGACTACAAGCTCCTCTGAAAGGCTTGTTCACGCCTAAGTGGGACAGTACCTGGTCTAGCAGCTGCAATCACAGCATGCAAGTGAAAATCTCAGCCTTTCCTAAAGAAGACTAATCCACTTCAATGGTCCCCATCAAATGATGCCATTAATCCCTACAGCAAATGCATCCAGATAAAGCAAAGATTTCTAGGCTCCATCAATGAACCCACTTCCTAAAGGTTATAATTTTCACACAATAAAAATTGAATAATAACTACAACTCCCAGTGGGCCTACCATGTACCAAACAGAGCCATTATCATATGTATACCTCACACCTACACTCTAGAAGGGCTGGGACACAAATTTTCCATGGTGGCACCTCCAGGTCAAATTAGATAAACGTTGAGTGAATAAATTAAGGAGCTCTGGAGATATAATGGCAAAAGTAGGTGACTGATAACTGATAGACTGGTAGTTTGAATCCACTAGTCACCCCACAAGAGATAGACATGGCTGTCTGCTACCATCAGGATTGGCAGTCTTGGAAAGCCTACAAGGTTCCTATGAGTCAGAATGAACTTGATAGCAACAGTTTTCATGTGGTTGGTTTTAGAGTCAATAAATTAAACAAATTATTGGATATATCAGTAAATTGGATCAACTGAAAACAAAGCTCAAAGAAATTAGATCTGAATAACCATGACCCTACAACCTGTCAGTTGGCTTGTGTGTTGCTGCATTATTGAAAGCTAAGACATGGTGGTGGTGGTGGTGGTGGTTGTTATGTACCTTCAACTTGACTATGACTTGGGAGCTCTGGTGGCCTAGACTCAAGAAGCTGCACTGCAATCCCAGAAGTGCATGGTTCGAATTCACCAGATGTTTTTCTGCTGGAGAAGGAGGGACAATCTCCTTCTGTACCAGTCAGATCTGATTTGTAATGCATGCACAAAAAAATAATATAATGTTTTAAAAAAAAACAGTTGACTATGACTCATAGCAACCTGCCCTATCCTGAGCCAAATTCTCTATCTCTGACACACTTGACCCCATTGCCACAGTCACTGGGTCAATCCACGTCATCCAGGGTCTTCCTCTTCTGTGATGATACTCTACTCTTTCAAGCATGATGTCCTTCTTCAAGGTTTGAGCCCTTCCGGTAACATGACCAAAGTATGTGAGCTTCAAAATTTTTGCTTCTCTCAAAAAGTTGAATACAGAAACTCCGTATCACCCAGCTAATTCCACTACTAGGAATATATACTTAAAATTAAAAGTGGCACACAAATAGAGATTTGCACACCAATGTTCATAGCAGCATTATTCACCATCACAAGAACATGGAAACAGCCTAAATGTTCAACCACAACTGAATGGATTGAGAAATTGTGGTACATTCACACAATGGAATAGTATGCAGTACTCAGGAGCAAAGATTTTTAAAAATACTACAAAATTTTGTAGTATTTCCAGAAGAGACTGGAAAGCATTATGTTGATTGAACTAACTCAGTCTCATAAGGATAAATGCTGCTTAAGACCATTATTGTGAAAACAAAAGGAAAACTAGTAAAACATGTATGGAGACCAAAAGGGAGAGGGGATGAGAGCAGAAGGGTGAAGGGATGGGAGCAGAATGGTGAGGATGGGTAGAGGCAAAACCACAGGATTGCACAATTTGGTGGGTGGATGGAATGAGTGAAGGAAATGGGAAAGATCCAACAGGGACCTAAAATGATAGGGTAATGATGGGCAAGGTCCAAGGGTGATTAATTTTATAAAACATAATGCATTGGAATGATTGTATGAAATACAATGTGAATGAAGAATAGTGTGAAACACAATGCATATGAACTTCGTAAGCAAACCAATAGAAAAAAATTTTTAAAAAGTGAGAAATTTTAAAAAGATAACCGAGAATGAAAAAAAATTCTTGCCTCCAAGAAGCAAACTGGTTTCATTCACTCTAAGTCAGAACTGTTTGTGTTCTCTTGGCAGTCTTTGGCATGTTCAATACTTTTCTCAGCACCACAATTCAAAGGCATTGATTCTTCTTCTGTCATCTTTATTCATTGTCCAGGTCTCAGATGCATAGCAAGCAACTGAGAAGATCATGGTCTGGATCAGGTGCATCTTAGTCTCTAAACTGACATAGCTATTCTTTAGCACAATGTAGATATTTTTGACAGCAGGTTTTCCTAGTGCAACTCATCTTTTGATTTCCTGACTGCTCGTGCCAAGAACATTGATTGTGGATTCAAGCAAGATGAAATCATTAACAACTTCAGCCCTTTCTCCATCTATCGTGGTACTGCCTTTTAGCCTGGTGGTGAGGATCTCTGTTGTTGTGTTACAATCTATATAAAAGGCAGCAATCCATGCTTTCCACAGTAAACACTTCCAAGTCCTCAGTTTCAGCTAACAAGGTTGTGCCATCTGCATAACACAGATTATTGATGAGTCTTCCTCCAATCTTGATGCCACATTCTTCTTCATGAAGTTCTACCTCCTCAATGATCTGTTCCATATACAGATTGAAAAGGTATGGAAAAAGGATACATCTCTGATGCACTCCTTTCTTGATTTTGAACCATACAATGCCTTGGCACTGGTATTTCAAATACCAGCAGGGTCACCCATGGTAGGCATGTTTTAGGGGAACCTCCAGACAAAGATAGACTTGGAAGGAAGGAATAGCACCCAAAATTAACTAGTGAAAATCCTATAGATCACAAGAGAAAATTATTTGTTTTAGTGTTAGAAGATGAGCACTCAAAACACACATTTGTCACAAAAAGAAATCAAGCGCATCAACAATCATGAAGATGGTGCAGGCTTGGACACGCCTTCATTCTGTTGTATATGAGTCAGAGTCAACTCAATGGCTGTTGTTATGTGTCATCTTGTTGTTATGAGTCACTTGTGACTCATAGCGATCCTATGTACAAGAGCTCTATACGTTCTTCTATCCTGTGCCAACCTAGCCATCTCAAATGCACGTATTCCCACCTTCCCAGTCACAGAATCAATCCATCTCATCAAAGTTCTTCCTCTCCTTCGCCGCCCCTCCACTCTGCCAAACATGATGTCCCTCTCCAAGGACCAGTCCCTCCTTGCAACATGCCCAAAATATGTCAGATGAAGCTTCAAAATCCTTGACTCCAGGGAACATTCTGGCTTCACCCTCTCCAGGACAAATCTGTTTGTTCTCCTAGCAGACCATGGTATATTCAACACTCTTCTCCAGCACCATAGCTCAAATGCATCAATTCTCTTTCTTTTTTTTTATTATTAAATTTTATTAGTATTAATGAAAATTTACAGGGATTTTGGGTTTTAATTCCTTCATTGCTGTACCATTCTCTCTAACCTCTTCCCCAGTTTGTTCTTCTTCCCCTGCCCTCCGAATGTCTGTTTTAATTGTCCAATTGCCACAGTGCTTGTCAAAGCCAGTTCTGTTTAATCTCCTTTGTCAGTGTGTCCTTTGCCATTCCCTATCA